GAGAATGTGTGTGTATGTGTGTGTGCATGTGTGTGTATGAGAGAGAATGTGTGTGCATGTGTGTGAGAATGTGTGTGAGTGTGTGTGTATGAGAGAATGTGTGTGAGAATGTGTGTATGTGTGTGTGTGCGTGTGTGTGTATGAGAGAGAATGTGTGTGTGTGTGTGCGCGTGTGTGTATGAGAGAATGTGTGTGAGAATGTGTGTGCGTGCGTGTGTGTGTGTATGAGAGAGAATGTGTGTGTGAATGTGTGTGAGAATGTGTGTGTATGTGTGTGTGCATGTGTGTGTGTATGAGAGAATGTGTGTGAGAATGTGTGTGAGAATGTGTGTGAGAATGTGTGTGTGTGTGCGTGTGTGTATGTATGAGAGAGAATGTGTGTGTGTGAATGTGTGTGAGAATGTGTGTATGTGTGTATGTGTGTGTGTGCGTGTGTGTGTATGAGAGAATGTGTGTGAGAATGTGTGTGAGAATGTGTGTGAGAATGTGTGTGTGTGTGTGTGTGTGTGTATGAGAGAGAATGTGTGTGTGTGAATGTGTGTGAGAATGTGTGTGTATGTGTGTGTGTGCATGTGTGTGTATGAGAGAATGTGTGTGAGAATGTGTGTGTATGTGTGTGTGTGTGTGTGTGTGTGTATGAGAGAGAATGTGTGTGTGAATGTGTGTGAGAATGTGTGTGCTGGGGGATATGCCGTGATCAAAGCAAGGCCTGGGCAAAGCAACAAAAGCAGATAGATAGTGAGGAGAGGGCTTCAGGGGCAGGTGGAATTTGAGGGGGCCTCTTCGAGGAGAGGATGGGGCACAGAGGGGTACATTCCAGCAGTTAGTGCAACAGCAGTGTTCCGGGGGTGTGGGAGGAATGCCTGGAGCTGAGCAGCCATGGCTCGTATGCCAGTTGAAGAGCTGACATGCTACCCCCAGGGCAATAAGAAGCCACGGCAGCATCTAGACCAGGAGAGGGGCTTGGTCTGGGCCCAGGTGGGAGAGCAGGAGGCTGGAATGGTGGCCTGGGCAGCCCAGAGGAGGGTGTCTGCCTTGCTTCCTTCCTCTCCACACCCCCTGGAAACAATCCAGTTGGGGCTTCCCTGGGGTCCTCACAAGGTACAACTTTGCAAATCCGAGAGACTGGGACCCAGCCTGACCACTTGAGACATATCCTTCACTCTCTCCCCCTAGTGGCCTCAGTTTCCTCATCTGTAGTATACACAGGTCAGACTTACGGGACCCTGTTTTCCCATGTGTGCCCACCCCAAAGACACAGACACTCCCAGAGCCCACAGGACCTTCCCTGGCTGGAGGTGGCTGGGTCCTCAGAGGACCCTGAAGAAATCGCCAGGGGATTGGGCCTCTGATTCTGACTTTCTTCTTTCCCTGTCTGATTTTTCCATCCATAAAATGGGAATGTTTCCATCTCATTAAGTTGTTTGGAGATTTATGAGTCAGTGAATATACATATTATTCCAACATGAGAAATTGTTTCCCCCTCAAACTTCTATTCACTTCAAAACCCCCCACAGATTTTCCACCTTCAATGCAGGCCCAGGACAGCTCTTGGCTTTTCACTGTTCTTTGCCCTAGGATCTCCCAGCCCTTGATTCTGCCCTCTACCCCAATCCTGACCCCATGAGTCTGGGGGTGTCTGTATCTGCCTCTGTCATGCCCTCCACCAGACAAGTGGGGTCCTCCCTGGGACTGCAAAATTACTCAGCATGGGGCACTCTGGGAATGTTGTTGAATAAATGAAAAGAGGAAGGGAGAGGGCAGGGAAGGAAGAGATGCAACACTGGGGAGCCAGAGAAGGTAGAGGAGGGAGGGAGGGCACTCGGCAGAGACCTTAGTGGGGCAGATGGAGAGAGAGAGCTGGAAGGAGGTGGGCAGAGCCAGATGGGTGGGCAAGGGGGACTGGAGAGGTGAGGGCATGGGGAGACCTGGCAAACCTCCTCAAGGCTCTGGTGGGATGGGCAGAGCCTAGCAGTGGCTGGTAGATCGCCTGGGCATGGGACTCGAGGAGTGAGGCACTGTGCCTCAGCTTTCTTGCTGCACATGTGCCCCTGTGTGCCCAGGGCCAGGGGTATGAGCCACAGTATGTGGATGCCAGCTTGGTGTGAGTCTCCAGGCTGGTGGGTAAGGCAGAGTGCAAGGCTGTGGGTGTGGACAGCTGGGCCTCCAAGCCTTGGCTTTTCAGTGGGGGCCTGGAGAGGAGGGGGTGCCCACCTGGCTTCTGGGACCAGACCAGGACCTCCCTCACTGCCAAGCTAACCCAAGAGGGGGAAGGAGCCTCCCAGTAGGAGGTGAAAGGTCCCAGGCTCTGCAGGCAGATGAAGACACAGGTGGCGAGCAGGTACCCTGGCCATGAGAATGGGGTGAGGGTTGAGGGTGCTGTGATGGAGGCAGGTTTCCTCCCGGTGGCCCCCTCCCTAGTTCCCTCTCTTGGCTCATCCATCTCCAGAAGATTATATTTAAATATCTCTTTTGTGCAAGGCAGGAGCTGGGCTCGCCCCTAAGAGGCGGTTTCCATGGCAACAACAATTGCCAGCTTCCATGTGGTGAATCAGTGTTGCCATGGCAACCCCATCCTCATCTGCCCAAGGTGCTGGGACGGGGGAGGAGGTGAGGGCCAGTGGAGGTGATGTAAGAGGGGTGGGGGAGCAGGAGGCTGATGTTCAGGTGTCCCCCCCCCCCACTTTCTTTCACCTCAGTCTGCTCCCAGTCCAGAATCTGGTCTCATCTGGTTTAAATAATCTCCCCTCCTGCCTCCAGCTAGCAGGGTGTGGTACCCAGGTGGAGAAGGTTGTGAGTGTGTGTGTGTGTGTGTGTGTGGTGGGGGAAGGGAGATATGGTTCCTCTTTCCTCTGAGGGTGTGGCTGGGCAGCAGGAAGGTTGGGCCACCAGAACTGGGGACACTGGATGGGGAAGACTGAGGCCTCTCTGGTTCTGAAGCTCTCGAGGCTGAGTTCAGCCAGCGAGGCAGCCAGGGCCATATGTGCCTGGGACCCACACTTAGAGAGGGGGAAGGTATCCACAGAGGGAGGGGCTCACACAGGGGAGGGGAGCAGAGAGAAGGAAAGGACTCAGAAAGGGAAAGGAAGCTAGAGAAGGGGAGGAGGATCTATCAGGAGAGGGGACTCAGGGAAGGGGGTGCTGGACGAGGGAGGGGCTCAGAGAGGGAGTTCAGAGCTGGGACAGGGTCTGAGAGAAGGGAAAGGAGTCCAGAGGGGAGGAGACATGGGGGTTTCAAAGTTGGGGAGTGGTGTCTATTCATGAGAGTGGGTGGAAAGATCTCTAAATTTGACCTCTAGGACTCCTCAGTGCCTCAATTCATCTACTATGACTTTGGTGGATATAGTAAATAACTTTTCTCTGGGCCTTGATTTTTACATCTATAAAATGGGGTGAAACTGTGTGTGTGTGTGTCTCTCTCCCTTGCTGAGCAGCTGCACTATGATTAGAAGACTGACATTTATTAAGCACCTTCTCTGAATGGGCGGGGATCTACTCCAAGATTGCCTGACCTAGGACCAGCACTCACTGCCCCCAGGCCTGTTAGGGAGAGACCAGGCGCCTTTCTTCTGGTCAGCTCATTTTAGCAGATTCTCCCATTTCCCCTGCCTTGTGTGGAGTGATTCTGTGGTCCCAGTCTGGAGGAAGACGAGCAACACATAGACACGTCCTGCCCTGAGGCAGAGGGAGGAGGGAGCCCAGAGGAGTGGAAGGATTGCCCACTTGGGGGCTTTTGAGTTGGGTTTTGAAGAATGAGTAGGAGTTCCCCAGAGATACCAAGTTGGGAGAAGGATTCTGTCCTAGAATCAGTGGAGAAGCAAATGCCACCCCCATCCTACATCTCTCAAGTCTGTTGTTAAATATTCACATTAGCTTACATCATACCCATGGCTGGGTAAGTTTGGGGTTGAGGGCTAGGGAAGGATTTCTTCTATTGAGCATCATTTTCAGTGCCGGGGTTGGGGGATAGAAGTATCCAGAACAATGAGTCCAGATTTCAGGCTGGTCCACTCAGGTATAACAGTCTTCCCACCCAAGGCTTGAGGAACTGACTAAAAGTAACAGCCCTTGTGTATTAGTCAGCTACTTCTAAGTAACAAACCACCCTGACCATTTTATTTGTTCATGATTCTGTGGGATGGTAATTCCAGCCTTGCTCAGCTGGGCAGTTCTACTGTTCTCTCCAGGGGTCATTCATGCAGCTTCAGTCAGCTGGGGCTTGACTGGGCAAGTTGGGTCAGGATGACCTCACTAGTATGTGCTGGGTGTCAGTGAGGTCTCCCTGCATGAGGTCTACCACCCTCCAGTAGTTTTCCTCGTATGACCTGGTGGTCTCAGGGTCTCAATAGTGGAAGCTGCAAGGTCTCCTGAGGCCAAGGTTGGAACTCCCACTTCACTTCCACTTTATTCTATTGGTCAGACCGAGCCACATGGCCAAGTCCTGGCTCTAGTTTTGTTTTGTTTTTTCCTTTATTGATTTTGGAGAAAGAGATAGAAACATCGATGAGAGAACTTCAATTGGCCACCTCCTGCATGCCCCCCACTGGGGATCGGGCCCACAACCTGGGCATGTGCCCTGACCAGAAATTGAACTGGCAACCTCTTGGTGCATGGGTCAATCCTCAACCACTGAGCCACACCAGCTGGGCCTGACTCCAGTTCTTGATGAGAGAAACCACAAAGTCACATCACATTCAGGGACTGGAGGAGTTGGGCCATCTTTGCAAATAGACTATGGCACTTGAGGAGGCTTCCTGGAGGAAGGGATATTGTTACTGAGTTTTAAAGGCTAAGTAAGAGTTCCAGACAGTGTGAGCGAAGCCCTGTAGGTGGGACCGTGTGTTGTTTGGTTTGAGCGAAGTGTTAGTTGCTGCCAGGTGGTTGGTAGGATGCTGAGGCTGGGGAGGTAGGCAGGGTTGCCTGGCAGAGCTCAGGCAAAATCCCTACCCACGCTACTCCAGCTGCTGACCTTGACCTCCCCCTACCCCTTCTTTCCACAGATGGCACGGCCAATCCAGGTGAAGCCTGCGGACAGCGAAAGTCGTGGAGGTAGTTGTCATCTCTCTGTGACCTCCAGGCTGGGGGTTGGCAGAGGGATGGGGGAAGGAGGGAAGACCTCTTCACAAAAGGCTGCAGCAGTCACCTGCCTGCTCATACACCCATTGAGACAGAGACAGGATAGCAGGGGCTTGTGTCCGCTCTTCCCGACCACAGAGCCATAGGCCAGGTGCAGCTACTTTCCCCTGGAGCTTGAAATACCCCATTCCTCTCAGGGAGCAGTAATGGGGATCTTCAGATGCAGAAGGGATGGGGTCCCTGAAGGGCTGTGGATTGATTTCTGGTGTGTACGTGTGCACGTTTGCATGTCTGGACAAGTGCATATGTCTGTGTATGTAAGCATGCATACTTGGGCACACCTGTGTGCAAACAGGTGTGTGTGTCTCTATCTCATGTGTAAGTATGTGCACATATGCATGTGTGTTTCTGCGGCTGGTACAGTGGGGGTGCATACACAGCTGCGCACACAGCCTGTGTGCGGGCATGAATGTTCAAGTGTGTGCTTGACTGTAACAGGCTGGGCATGTGGACTTGCAGGCTGGGGCCTGGTGTCTGCATGAGGCTGGACGGTGGCGGGGGTGTACCCATGGAGGGGGTGCTTGGCTGTCCCCAGTGGGATACAAAAAATCTTGGAGATTTTTGCCCCCACCCTTCTCAGGCAGATTAGGGGCAGAGGGGAGAACAGCCAGCTCTTGGGGACAGTGTGTGGGGCAGGACTATTAGGACCCCTGCATATGTGTAGGAACTTGGTAAAGCCCATAAAGCCTGTTTTCATACTCTCCACTCTGGCTGCCAGTGTGAGGCAGGGATTAGAGAGGTGGGGTCTACATGTCTCTATCTCTTTCTCCTCTCTCTTTCTTCCTCTCCCTCCATATTTCTGTTTCTCTCTCCTTATCTTTTTCTTTCCTGTCTCTCTTGTTCTCTCTCTGCTGCTCTCTATGTCTCTTTGCCTGTCTCTGTTTCACTCTCGTCTATCTCCCTCTCTCTCTGATGCTCAATCTCTCTGCTTCTGTTTCTCCTTCCCTCCCACCTCCATGAGTGACAGCTGCCAGAAAACTGGTCTCCATAGAAACCCAGCTCACGGTCTCCAGGAGAGGAAGCTGCCAAGTTCGTGATTACAGGGGAGCAGTGCAATTACCTCGGGGGCAGGGCTCTGGTGCCTCACACAGGAGAGGCTGGTCCAGACTGACCCCTGGCCTTAGACTTGGGCTGGTCCCAGCCAGGCACCCACTCCAACCCCGCCCAAAAGGGACTGCAAGCTGCCCAAGCACCTGTTCCTGTGCACACACATGCCCTCACTCATTCAACAAACATTGATTGCCTCGCCCCTCCTGAGCCCCGGCAAGGCTGGGCAGAGAGCTCTGCTGGGTATCATGAGGATGCAGAGGCCATCAGCGCTTACCCCTCCCTGGAAAATCCAGGTGGCAGACAGACAGACTGACAGGAACCTAGGCCAGGAAAGGCAGTTCCTAACCCTGGTACTATATGTGGGCTCTCTGAGGCCACAGGAAGGAGACACCATCTTTGCTGGGAGAGTGGGAGCAGTGGAACAGATGCCCCGAAGGATTGAAGGAAGGACATTCCAGACGGGATGGGGGGCCGGGGGACACTGTGAGCAAATGCGTGGAGATAGGATCGTGCAGGAACGTGGGAGGGTGGAGAGACCCAGGGCAGGGAAAGCTGTGACCTCCTTCGCACCCGCTGAACAGGCGGTCCCAGGGGAGAAATTCCTGGAGGCTTTCAAGCCAGGACTCGGCTGAGGTGGTGTCTCCTCCCACAGGGGACCGGAAGCTATTTGTGGGGATGCTGAACAAGCAGCAATCGGAGGAGGACGTGCTGCGGCTGTTCCAGCCTTTCGGGGTCATAGACGAGTGCACGGTGCTCCGGGGACCTGATGGCAGCAGCAAAGGTGACAGGCCAGGGTCGGGGCAGGGGACATGGGGAGCAGGGTGGGGCCTGAGGCGGGCAGGGTTGGATCCCCCTGCAGGGCACACTTGGAGCGAGACTGGTGGATGGGGTCCATGGATGGACAGAGACTAGTCCTATCTATCTGCCCTTGTCGGTCTGGGGATGTCTGTCTCCACCTGACTGTCCATGGGACTGTTTCCGCCTGGATTTGCCTGTGTCCTGTGGACTGTATTTCTGCCTGATCCTACCTACTCCACCTACTGTTCCTATATGGCCGTTCCTTCTAGGAATGATTGTTTAATGACCTTCAAAGACTTGTTTTCCTATCTGCCCATGTGACTGTATGTGACTAGGTTTGGGTGTCACTCACTCCTCCTGCATGTCTGTCTCTGACTCTTTCTGCCTGGGTGTCCAAATGACTATTTCAGTCTGGCTTTTCATGTGTCTCTGGTCTCTGGCTATCTGCCCACCTGATTCTGCCTGTGTGACTGACCAGCTGGGTCTACCCTTGTCTGGTGACTTTATCCCCATTTCTCCAAATCTGGTCACATGAGCCTATCCATCTGGGTCTAAGTGCGTCTCTGAGTATGCACAGACTGTATCTCTCTGCATGTGTGTCTCATGGTTTGTCACTTTAATTCTGCACATCTGATTACAACTCTGGATCTCATAGTGTTGGTGGCTGGTGGGTATTCTCTAAGCCTGTCCCATCACTTGATTGTACATTTGACAAACAGCTATCTGGCTGGCTGGCTTTCTGATCGAATGGATGGCCGATTGGCTGACTGTAACTCTGTGGCTGGCTGTGTGCTTCTCTTACTGTCTCATCCTTCATTGTCCAGCTCTCTGTCTGAGCAAATAGTTGGATGGCTCTGTTGTCCAGATGTCCGACTCTCTGGCTGCATGTGTCTGATGCTGACTGGCCATCCAGGGCTCCCTGCCCCTCTCTGGTGGCCCCTGCCTGCCCAGAAAGACCTCATTGCCTCTCACCTGTTCTTCTCTTGGAGCAGGCTGTGCCTTCGTGAAGTTCTCCTCCCACACGGAGGCTCAGGCGGCAATCCATGCCCTGCATGGCAGCCAGACCATGCCGGTGAGTAGAACCTGTGCTGGGCCATGGTGGTGGGCATGGGAAAGGGTTAAGGGGGCCCTGTTCCTACCATCTCAGCCATCTGGCTCTTCTTCAAAGAGGGCATAGGTGGAAAAAGGGGCAGTGGTATGAGTGGGTGTATGTGTGTGATTGTGCATGTGAGTATGTGTGTGAATGTGAGTGTGCAAGGATATACTGCCAGTGTATGGCTGCATATGTGTGTGTGTGAGTGCATACATGTCTGTGTGAGTGCATGTGTGCAAGCATGTTAAGTGTATGAGTATGCCTGGGTGATGTAGAAGAAACCAGTGCATGTGTGTGGCTCTGTAGGTGTGTGTGTGAGGGTAAGTATGTGAATATCTGTGAGTGAGGGCATGTAATTATGTGTGCATAGTAACTGTATATACTTATGTGTGTACATGTGTGATTTTGTGCATGAATATGTGAATGCATGTGTGCGAGTATATGTGAGCATGCATGGTAAGTGTGTATGTGTGACTTCTATGCATAACTGTGAGCATGCATGGTGAGTGTATGTGTGTGAGTATACAGGAGGGGTGAGACCTGAGGGTGGGTGGAATTTGCCATGGTCAGCAGGGGGACATGAGGGTGTGGAGAGTGACAAGATCAAAGATGAGATCGGAACGGGCAGCCTCAGAGGGGCTGGGAAGGGCGGGCTGGAGGGGCTTGCAGTTCGAGGCTGAGGTGTACAGATTCCTCCTATGGCCATGGGGAGGTTTGACAGGAACGGGAAGGGGCCAGGGTATTTGGAAATGTCTCTTTGGGGCCAGAGTAGGGGGTGGGAAGAGGCAAGACTAGAGCTGGAACTTGTGGGACAGCAGTGGTGTGAGGCTGGGAAGGACCACCCAGACACTGGGGGTGGCCCTGTCCCCGAGGAAGGAGACTCTAGGAGTGACCTTCACTGTATGTAAATGTCCAAGTCTGCATGGGAAAGATAGCCTTGGAGAACTAATTCTCCTCTCATTTGTTCTTGAAAATGGGTATGAAGTGCAGGGCAGTCTCAGAAGACCAGGCATCAGTTTTGGTCCCTGGACAGGCAGGATTTAGCTCATCACCAGGTCAGGCTTCCTCCTACTCAGAGCTGTCCAGTAACAGGACTGACAGGCATAGCAGGGAGTGAGCTCTCCATCAAAGGGGGCATGTCAACCTCTCTGCTGGCTGGAATGTCATCTGTTCTCAGGTGTAAGGTGCCATTTGCAGAGTTATCCATTTGTGTCCCATTCCTCTCTGGTGACTGCATTCTCACCTGTTCTCAGGTGTGGGTGACAGTTATAGGGTCCTCCACCCAGGCTGCCATTGTTCTGCTTCAGCTGTTGGATTCTCCTCCTGTTTATTATTATTATTTTTAAGATTTTTAATTGATTTTTAGAGAGAGGGAAACATTGATGTGAGAGTAAAACATTGATTGGCTGCCTCCTGCATGCCCCCTACTGGGGATCGAGCTTGCAACCCAGGCATGTGCCCTGATCAGGAATCAACTGGCAACCTTTTGGTGCACAGGACAACACCCAACCAACTGAGCCACACAGGCTAGGGCTCCTCCTGTTTTGGAGTGTGTCTCAGAGTCAGGCTCCTCCACTGTACTCCAGACAGAAATCCCTGGGCCCGGATGCCCCACTTGTGTGCAGGGGTGTTTACATTGTCAAGTGCAAGACCCAGGACTGATTTTCAGGTTGTCTCACTGTGGTGCCCAAAGTCTGTAGCTGAAGTTTTGTGGAGAGGGCCAACAGCTGTTACCACACCCCTCACCCAAGGGCCTGAGCTGATGTGGGTCTGGGGACCCCAGAGTCCTGGTTACTTCCCTCCTTCTTTTCCCTTCCTGCTTGTGGCTGCTCCTGCAGGGTGCCTCCTCCAGCCTGGTGGTCAAGTTTGCCGACACGGACAAGGAGCGAACGCTACGACGCATGCAGCAAATGGTGGGCCAGCTGGGCATCCTGACACCATCCCTCACCCTGCCCTTCAGCCCCTACAGTGCCTACGCCCAGGCTGTGAGTGACCCCAGCAGACATACTTTTGTCTCCAGCGGGACTTCCAAGACCACTCTGAGGAGCCGATTCAATCTCTCTCTCTCCATCTAAGTCTCTTTTGAGGAATTCGGCTTCTCTGCCCATCTTTCTATCTCTTGCCCAGTCTCTCTGACTCAGGGTCCTATCCTGGCCATGGTTGAGCCCACAAATCCAGGCTGAGCCTTAACCTCAAACTGACACCAAACCCAGACTGAGCCTCTAAATCTAGGCTAACTCCAACTGAGTCTCAACCCTGGCTGAGTTAAGTGTTGGCTGATCCCCGATCCCAGACCAAGACCAAATTCCTGACTGAACCCAGATCCCTAGATGAGCCCTGATTCTTATGATCCCTGAACCTAGACTGAGCCCTAATGCCAGGCTGAGCCCTGATCCTAGACTAAGCCTTGATCCCAGGGTGAGCCCCAATTCCTGACTGACTCCTGACCCTGGCCTGAGCCAAGATATCTAGCCTGAACCCCCTAGTTACTGGAGGGCCAGGCCTCCCCCTGGGAGCTATGACCTCAGGGCAGGTGCCACCCTGACTGGGCATGTTGACTCCTTCTCCACCCCCAGCTCATGCAGCAGCAGACAACAGTCCTGTCCACCTCGGGCAGCTACCTGAGCCCTGGCGTGGCCTTCTCACCCTGCCACATCCAGCAGATCGGTGCCGTCAGCCTTAATGGGCTGCCTGCCACGCCCATCGCCCCTGCCTCTGGTAAGAGTCTGCCAGAGGCACAAGGATGGGTGGCCAGTGCCAGGGCCAGGCCCAGGTTCCTCATGACATTTTTCTGCTCTACAGGACTGCACTCACCCCCACTGCTCAGCACTGCCACTGTGCCCGGCCTCATGGCTCCCATCACCAACAGCTTTGCAGGCGTCGTGCCCTTCACTGGTGGGCATCCTGCCCTAGAGACTGTATATGCCAATGGCCTCATGCCCTATCCAGGTAACTTGAGTAGTTCCTCTGGGCCTAGGAGAGCATCAGGGGGCAGAGACCGTGTCTCTTGGACAAGCATAATTTCCTGTGCCTTGGTGCCTCATGGATCAGGGGGGCAGAACAAAGGGAGCCTCAGTTGAGCAGATATGTGCTGTGGGCACAGAGAAAAAAAGTTAAACATGGCAACTTTGCACCCAGACATTTCTGGGTTCATATTCAGATTTGGTGACCCTGGATGATTCCTTTAAGTCTCTGAGTTTCAATTTTGCTCATCCGTGAAATGGGACAGATAACATCAGTCATCTCGTGAGGTTGCATTGACAATGAAATCAGTATGTAAAATGCTTAACACATCACCTAGTACTAAGCATGGCACTATCAATTATTAATCATTACTATTTGGGAAGATATCAGTACCCCTATTCATTCATTCATTCATTCACTCTGTATTGACCATGCACTGACTTGGGCTGGGCTCTGCTCTCATGAAGCAGAGGTCTCACCTTTCCCTACCTTACACCATGATTTCAAGGTAAACATCCACCAACACCTTGCTGAGGTGAAGTAAGTCATCTGTGTTTCCACCCTTGAGGAGGATTTATTTTGATTTTTATTTCAAAATGATTGAGGCTCACAGGAAGTTGCCAAAATAATGCAGAAAAGTCCTATGTACCCCTCACCTAGCTTCTGCCAATGCTAACATCATATTTAATCATTGGACATTGTCAAAACCAGGAAATTGACATTGGTGTGTACAATGAACTCAATTTGAGTAGGAGAGCTTATTCAGATTTCACTGCTTTTTACATGCACATGTGTATGTGTGTGTGGTTCTAGACCATTTTATCACAGGTATAGATTCATGTAACCACCATCACAGTCAAGATACAGAACTGTTCCAGCTCTACAAAGTAATTCATTCATGCAACCCCTTTACAGTCACACCCCCCCTACACCATTCCATCCTCTAGCAACCTCTCTCCATTCAAGCAGAATCTTTTGGCTGAATTTTCTCTATTCACCAGCTCTGGTGGCCTGAACAAACTCTCCCCTCTCTTACCTCCTCCATTAGGGGCAGTCGGAAGGACACAGCCACATAGGGGGTCCATGGGGTGACTGATGAATGAGGTGTAGGGAGCGAGAGAGGTGAAGGCATGGGGGTGAGTGGTGGTCTGGAGCAGAGGCCTGGAGTCCTGGAGAATCTAGAGAATACAACGAAGAAGCGAGGGGGCCAGGATGGGGAGAGAGAGATGGAAGTGATGTTTCTATCTCTCTGAAGTCCAGGAAACCTGGATTCCAGTTTGTCTTCTGCCATTTCCTATCTGAGTGGCCCTGTGCCAGGTACTTCACCTCTTTGAGCCTCAGTTTCCCCACCTGTAAAATGGAAATCATATCTGTAAACCATTTACGCAGAGGTGAAGCTGGGGCGGATGTCTGTTGCTCTCTTTCCGGCTCTTAAGAATTGGGGGTGGATGGAAGTCTTATGCTGCCCTCGCTCCACTCAGCCCCTCCGTCTGCCCGCAGCCCAGAGCCCTACCATGGCTGAGACACTCCATCCTGCCTTCTCCGGAGTCCAGCAGTACACAGGTAGGGAGGCAGCCCGGCCCTCCCTGCCGGTGGCCCCACCCCGCAAGAAGCCCCGCCCCCGGGCTCGGCCCCCACGGTCTTTCTTTCTCTAACCTAGCTTCCTACCTCTGGCCCTGGCCCAATCCCAGCTCTTGGCCCTGCCCCCGTTTTTAGCGTCTGGTCCTGCCCCTCACGGCCTTCCCTGCCTCTACCGAGGCCCCGTCCCCCTCTGGCTCTCCCCGAGGCCCGCCTTGGCCTCTCCCTTAACGCGTGTCCCCGCCGCTCAAGCCCTGGCCCCTCCCCTCTTCCCTAGCGCCTTGAGCCCACCCTTAGGCCGGCTCTTAGTTGCGGCTACGTCACTCTTCCTTCCCACGACCTGGTATTGGCCCCGCCCTCACCCTGGGCCCCGCCCCCCGGGTCAGTCCCGCCCCGCTCACTCCGGCCGCCCCCGGCCTCACGCTTGCTGACGCTCCGGGTCTCCACAGCCATGTACCCTACTGCGGCCATCACGCCCATCGCGCACAGCGTCCCACAGCCGCCGCCCCTCCTGCAGCAGCAGCAGCAGCGAGAAGGTGAGGGGGCCGCGACCTCCCGCGGGCGCCAGCCCCGCCCTCCGACCGCCCCCTTCACCTGCAGGACCCACACCTGGCCAGGCCTCGGGGAACCACGCGGCTGAGGACTCGGCCCAGGGGGACCGACAGGCCTGGTTCAAGCCCTGACGCAGCCCCTAGGTGTTTGAGGGTCCATTGACGCCCCCTCTCTGAACCCCCGTTTTCTCCTCCGGAAAGTGAGAAGCGTGCTAGCTCGACGTTGTAGGAGTAGAGGTGCCCTTTCCAAAACGGAATGATTCTCCCAATTTTTGTACAGGAAACTCGTGTTGAGGTTGAGGATGAGGTGGTGAGGGATTTCGGGTAAAGGGAGGCCGCCCCAGTATAGTCGAGGGATGCAAGAGTTAGATTCTAGAGTCGGACGACTGGAATTCAGATCCACCCAGTTCTGATTTGTGACAAAAGGAAGGCACCTTGCCACACCCTATGCCTCAGTTTCCTCATCTGTAACACAGGCGACTATCTGTGCCAAGAGGCCTTACTGGGAATTAAGCAGTGGCCTTCCTGACACATAGTGGGCGCTCATCACTGGGGAGTCCCTCTGTCTTTAATCCAGCTAGTGGGAGTAGGGAGGGGAAGGAGGGTGCACTGGGGAGAGGTGACCAACCAGAAAAGCCCCAGGACACCCCATGGCAAGGGAAGTTCTGAGCCTGGCCAGCAGACATGTAAAAAAGAAAAGAAAAGATAGGACCCTAATAAAAACAGTAGCACAGTTTTATCAATGTTAGATGGCTAAGAAATGCATGGATACTAGAATAAATATGGCACGTTATCTTGGAAAAGAGCTGAAATTTGCATGTGGAAGTGGCATTGAGAGGGTTACGGTGTAATAGTGGAAACAGGATTGTCTGAAATGAGACACTTGTAACCACAGATGGGGACAGGTGTAGCTCCTAACAGACTCAGGAGCTGAGAAAGTTGTTGGGTGTTTGAGCCTTGTGTCCGAGCATGAATTTGATTTTCTTGTGAGGCTTGGTTCATCTGGGTCCAGTTTTCTGCATTCACCTAGTGTTTCCTGGAGGCGAGATAGCCCATAAACAAGTACAGAATTTGTGTTATGTGCAAAATTGTTCTGTAACATATCAATCACGTTGCAACACACTTGCTTTTAAAAACAAGCATTATAGCAGAACTGTGGTCCTAATCAGAAAGGTAAGGGGGTGGGTATGATTGTGTGATCTTGGACTTTGTATTTTCTGAGGTGGGGAATATTCAAGGGTGGGGCAATTCTTGTTGGTTTGACCATTACCTTTGTTTTGGGGAGCATGGGAGAAGGTTTGAAAACTGTTCATGGCTTCAGATAATCGGGCTTTTATTTTTTTCATTTATTTTACTTAATTTTTTATTGAACTTATTGGGGTGACATTGGTTAATAACATTATATAGGTTTCATTTGAACAGTTCTATGATACATCATCTGTATATTGTATTGTGTGTTTACCACCCCAAGTTAATCAGATTTTTAAATGGTGTTATTTATAGTTTATCTATAAACCATGCACTGGGGAATATATGGGGAAGGGATGATTTTGAAGGTTAGCTATGCTTTAAAAAATTATTTGTAGTTGGTATAGTCTCCCATTTTAAATTTTTTTTGTGATTTCAGGATATCTGGGGTTTGGGACTGGAGAATTCTCTTTGTATTTTACTTGATTTTATTTTTGCATCTTCTGAGTTTTAAAAATTACCTAAAGTTAGGAGGATTATCCAAGGCTTTTGGAAAATATATCTGGATATTTGGGTTTTAGGACCAGAGAATACTTGTCTTGTTTTATTCTGTGATCATCAGACTTCCATTACTATTTTTAAAAATTGATTTTAAAGAGGGAGGAAGAGAGAGAGAAAAAGGAACATTGATGTGAGAGAGATACATCAATCAGTTGTCTCCCGTACGTGCTCTGATCGGACCCCCTGACCAGGGATCGAACCTGAAACCTAGGTATGTGCCCTGACCGGGAGTTGAACCTGAGACCTTCCATTGCACAGGATGATGCTCCAGCCGAGCCACACTGGCCAGGGCAATCATCGGACTTTAAAAAAATTTTTTTGTTTTAGAACCAGTTTTAGACTTAGAGAATAATTTTAAAGATAGATTATAGTTTCCATATACATCACACCTAGTTAACTTGATATTTGTAAATAATCTGGAATTTGAGGTTTAGGGATTTTCCTGGATTTTGGAGTTCCTGGGATTTATCTTGGTTTAGGGGGAAGGGGAGGGATCATCTGAATTTTGTAAATTATCTGGGGCCTGAGGATTATCAGAGGTTTGTAGTATCTGAGTGTGGGATTATGTACACCAGGGGTCAGGGTGCCCTACTCCCTCCCCCCATTTCCATACCCCTTCTTTCTGGGTGTCATGGAGCACCCCTCTTTTGACAGCTGGAAGTGCCAGATGTAGGTCCGGACCCAACCCTCTCCCAGGGGGGATCCACCTCCTCTCCTTGGGGGCTTTATGTCTTTCTCTCCCCCACCTGCAGGTCCCGAAGGCTGTAACCTGTTTATCTACCACCTCCCCCAGGAGTTTGGAGACACGGAGCTGACGCAGATGTTCCTGCCCTTCGGCAATATCATCTCCTCCAAGGTGTTTATGGATCGGGCCACCAACCAGAGCAAATGTTTTGGTGAGTACCTGTGGAGGGTACCCCTTTCTGCTGGCCAACCTGTCTCACTCCCCTCAACCTGGAACAGGGGATGGGGGAGGTGGGGAGGGAGGGGTAGTTTAGCCATAAGACAGTCTAGATCCAAAAGAATCACATTTTAAAAAAAAACGCCCTGGCCAGTTTGGCTCAGCGGTTAGAGCGTCGGCCTGCGGTCCGGAGAGTCCCGGGTTCGGTTCCCGCTAAGGGCACGTACTTCGGTTGCAGTTTGTCCCCGGCCCTGGTTGGTTGTGCGGGTGGCAGCCACTCGATGTGTCCCTTCACGTCGATGTTTCTCTCTCTCTCTCCCTTCCTCTCTCTCCCTCCCACTCTATCTGTACAAAAAAATGGAAAAATATCCTCGGATGAGGATAAAAAAAAAAAAAAAAAAAGATTCATACCCATCCGGTGTGGCTCAGTGGTTGAGCATCAACCCATGCACTGAGAGGTTGCCAGTTTGATTCCTGGTGGGCGCACATACCCAGGTTGTGGGCCTGATCCCTAGTGGGGGCATGTAGGAAGCGGCCAATCGACGTTCTCTCTCATCAATGTTTCCATCTCTCTCTCCCTCTCCCTCTGTCTCTCTAATATATCAATAAAGGGGAAAAAAAGTTTTTTAAAAAAATCACATTTGTAATCAGAGTGAGCACTTATTAAGCACTTACTATGTGCCGGGCACTTGCCATGCATTCTTTCTGAGACTCATTCATTCATTCATTCAGCAAATACATATACTGTGTCCTTGCTGTGTGCCAGGCTCCGTGATTGGCGCTGGGCACACAGCAGTGAAGGAAGCTGGCAAACCCTTGTCCTCAGAAAGCTCACAGTCTTCCTTTGCTGTCTGACAGAACTTTCTCTGATGATGGAAATGTTCTACATCTGATCAGTCTGAACCATCAGCCCCATGTGGCTACCAAGCTCTTGAAATGTGGCCAGAGTGACCAAAGGACTAAATTGTAAATTTTATTTAATTTTACTTAATTTAAATGTAAAAATAACCACTGGAGCCAGTGGCTACTGAACTGGAAAGTACAGGTTTAGGGAGAGGAGATGGAAATAAACATAGGATATAGGCCAGGGAATTATAAATGATATGAAGAAAAATAGAGCTGACTGATGATGAGTCAACATGGGAAAATCTGTAGGAAGAATGTTCTAGGAAGAGGGAAGAGCATGTACAAAGGTCCTGGGCCTGGACCATGTGTGTTGGAGGAACAGCGAGGAGGCCTATGTGGATGGAATAGAGTGAGTGATGGGGAGAGAGGGAGGAGGTAAGGGCAAGTGGGGGACAGGGGCAGGTCATGAAGGGCCTTGAAACTTGGGGAGGACTTCTTTGTCCCCAGAAACTGAGGAAATTAGGGCTCAGAGAGGCATTGACACTTGTTCAAAGTCACACAGCAGCAAAGAGGCAGAACCTAGACTAGAACTAGTCTGTTTGACAATAAAATCTGGACTGTTAACCCCACCCTGTCCTCTTTGAATAGCTAACTCTTGACTATTTATTGACTTCTGTATGTACTCGGTATCCAGCCATAAAAGGGAAGAATTTTCCCAATTTGCTGAGGGAGGAAAGAGAGGAATGAAGTGGTCAGGTGACACACTTGAAGTCATACAGCAAGTACAGGAGTTCCACTAGTGCCCAGGCCCCCTCTTCTGTATCTTGCTTCCAGGAGGAAGAAGAAATTTCTGGAGGAAAACCTACTCAATCACTTTCAACAATGGGGGGGAGGGGGGAGTCCATATGAATTCTCTGAGCCTCAATTTGCTTATTTATATGATGGGGGGATTTGAGGAGATAAATATGATGACATTAACCCCGAGCTCTAAATTCCCCTATGGCTCCCATGGGCCTCAGCAAGACCCTTCAACCCTGACGCCCCCCGCCATCTCTCTGCCTGACCTCCCACTTGGCCTCTCACACAGAGCTCAGACAACTCCATCTCCAAATGCTTGCACACGTGGTTCCCTCCCCCTGAAGGGCTCCTGGCCCCTGTGGCCTTCTCAGGGTCCTCTGTGAAGCCTGTGAGGACCAAGAAGTAGGGGACAGGAGTAGGGTCAGGTGGCAGGTGGAGGGAGTTTGGGCTGGTGGCATTTTAAAGAGGGGGAGGCTTAAGTGTTTCTGATGGTCTTGGGGGAGACTAGGAGTAGAGAGACTGACAAAGGCAGAGAGACAGGGAGAAAAGAGAGAAGAGGGAGAGATGGAAGAAGAAACAAAGATACACAAAGATAGTCAGATGGACAGAAAAGATCCCAGATGAATAGAGGTCTCAGAGGAGGCAAAGGGTTAATAACATCAGGGCCCAGAAGGAGGCAGGCATCCTGATAGGAGGGAGAACATGGCCCTTCCAGGACCCCCAGAGGTCCCACTTGTCCCCACTCTACATGGGAAGTCTCAGCAGAGCAGACCTCAGGTAAGGAATGAGTGCCCTATCCCCAGAGGCATGCAAGCCCAGGGGTGTCAGATCCAGACCAGGGTTGCTGTGTGGCTTCTGGCAAACCCTGCCATCTCTGTGGGCCGTCTGCCCCTGTGAGCGCACACCCCACCCCTAGGACCCTTCGAGCCAGGAAGCCAAGTGGAAGACGCCCATGTTACCCACCGTCACGGGTCCACCCTGGTCTCTGCAGGCTTCGTGAGCTTTGACAACCCAGCCAGCGCGCAGACCGCCATCCAGGCCATGAATGGCTTTCAGATCGGCATGAAGAGGCTGAAAGTGCAGTTGAAGCGGCCCAAAGACCCCGGACACCCCTACTGACCACGCCCACAGCCACCCTGAGGCTGTGGGCTTGGCCCAGGTGAGCCGCTTGGCGGCCCCACCCCTCAACCTTGCCCTACCCTGTGTTGTCTTTGCCCCTCCTAATTCTCCAAATTCTGTCCACCAGGGTGGGGTGACAGTGGGGCATGGGGGCGAGGTTGCTGCAAGAGACTACAGAAGCCCTCGGGTTAGATTGGTAGGGACAGATCTGAATGAAGGTACCCCCAATCCCTGTGGTGGTCGGGAGGGTAGGATTGGGGTAGGGAAGTGGGAGAAGCCAATGCTCACCAAGGTTGGTTAGGGAATCTTTTTTGGAGAAGGCTTTGTAGAATGAATAGAAATTTGACCTAAGGGACCAGGTTGGGTCCTGGGTGGGGAATGTTGTGGGGAGGGGCTTCTCTCCTGTCCTGTGACTTTCCCAGCTGGGCCCCTCTCTCAGCTTCTCTTATTTGGTATAATTCATACCCAATGGATTGATGGGAAAGAGAGATTTTGCCCTGCCCATTGGCATGCCAGAAAAAAAATGTCCCCCCCCCCCAAACAAACAAATCCCCAAGAGTGTATTTTGCCATCAGAACAAACAACATCAACGAATCTTCTTTGGGGAATGAATAGTGAGCCTAAGGGGCCAATAAGGAAACTAAATACTGACCTCAAGCTTCCATGAGCCTCATCTGTGAGATGGGCTCATAAAAGTCACCTCCCCCAGAGACAGTGGGGAGGACTCACACAGGAGACTTGGTGTTTTCCCCATTGAGCCCAGGATCCACTACCTGGAAAGTTCTCGATAATTTCTTTTTATTTTCTTTTTAATCACTATTGCCGTCGTCATCAGAGAGCCTCGCCTGGGGTGTGGCGCAAAGTAGGTGCTCAGTTAGGGGATGGTGGTACTTTTCAGACCCTGTCAGATCAGCCCCCACAGATGTGAAGGTGTGCAGTCACAGAGTCCTGTATCTTGGAGCTCACGTTTGGAAACCTGCCACATTTGGAAACCAACTCACGGCCAATCCACACACTTTTAACACGCTGGGATAGCACATCCTTCCTGAGCACCTACTATGTGCTAGGCACTGTTTCCAGCATTTGGGGACACAGCTGTGAATGAACAGAAACTGGGGGGTGGGGAAGGGGAGAAACTGCCTGCCCAGAGCTTCAGGGGCAGGCAGCAGGGGAGAGGAGACACAAATAAACAGGAATATTTGTCTCCAGTTGCCAGATAAGGACATGGACTTGGTGACCCTAAATCTGTTCCAAGCTAGGTTTGTTGGCTCCTGAACTCCAAAATGGACTCTTTCTGAAAAGATATGGGGCCTTGGGGTCCCAGACCCCAGCCTGGCCAGGGCAAGGGGGCGGATGGGCGGTGAGGTCGGCTGCCCTTGTGCCCTGGCTCAGAGCTCCCTAACGCCCCTCCCTTCTCCGCCAGGTGAGGGGCCTTCCACCCCAGGAGGGTTTCCCTGTTTCCAACTGATCCAGGACTTTTCCGTAAATTACAGCAGAGTTTGGACACCAGCCCTCCCTCTCCTCTCCTGTCTCCCCTTAACCCTCTCCCCAAAATGTGAAATGCTACCGAAGAGGGCAGGGGTTGGGGGAGCTCCTGAGTTGGAGGCTGAGGAGTTCACCACTTCCTCCTGGGAGATTTCCTCGCTCCCCATCCCTTACAACCTTGGTGGCTTCCCCAAACTAAATCACAACTTTTCCTATATATATATATGAATATATATATAGAGCTATAGACAGTATATATATATTTTTGAGTATAGATCATGGGACCAAACTTTTCTGACTTCCTTCCACCCAAGAGAAGGTGACCCTAGGCTGGTCACTCAGCAGGGACATAAGAAGGGCTGAGGCTGGCCAGGCAGCCCAGCGTCTCCTCACCGCCCGGCCGTATGTCAGACCAGGGTGCTGGAGAAGCACTGGGAGTCATTAGCCAACCGATATACCTCCAGGACTTTTGGCCGCTGCCACTGACGATTCTCTTGGGCCTATGGGCTCAGCCGGCTTGAGTGTCCCTGGTCCTAGCTGCAGCTTCCAGGACCCCCCAACCTCCCTCCCTTGTCCCAGGGCCCTGCCTTCCCCAGCACAATAGAGAGACCCTGGCCTCCCCAGCCCTTTCCCCCCAGTCATAGCCTTACTCATGTGACCAATAGCCCTTAGCTTTCCGTTGGGGGTAGATGGGGTCGGTGGGAGCCCCCTCTCCTCTTACCCCCTCCCAAGGGCAGGCAGCCAATCCTCCCTGCCTTCGGATCACCAGCCTGGAATTCACAATCTCATAACCAAGATCGCCACGCTCGTTGGACAAGCCCAACCTGCACTGGCCAAGCACCCCTTTGCCGAAGATACCTCTTCAAAGAATTTTTTTTTTTTAATTTTGATCTTTCTGAGCAGGTACAAAGAAGAAAAGAGAAGAAAAAATAGGGGGGGGGGATCAAACAACAATGGGTTTTTTTTTCCTAGCTGGGGCTGGGAGGGAGATCCTGTGGGGTGCCTCTATATACCTACCCAAACCGTGAAAACCCACCTTGAAGCACAGAGTCAAGTTCGTTTGGTCGTCCAGCGGGGCCGATTGCCAAACGAGGCGCCAGAGAACTTAATAAGCTCAAGAAAAATAATTTTTGGAAAAAAAAAAAGTGTTCCCTTTTGTTTCTACCAAAATGTGTTGACTGACCCAGAAAAAAAAAAAGAAAAACACATAGTAAAAAAAAAAAAAAAAAAGGAAAAGAAAAAAAAAATCTTCTGACCAACTTGTTTCGATATTCCAGAGTTTGATAATTGTTCCAAGACATTCTCTAGTGTGCCTGTGTCCTGTGCGTCTGCGTGTGCAAGCGTGTGCTCAGGGGCCGAGAGGGGGCCTCGTCTGTGTCTCCGGCGCCCACCAAGCTCCTGCCAGGCCTGGCGTGCAGTGGCGTGTGTCCTGGTCCATGTTTACTGGCTGTAAATACCATTTTTATACTCCACACCGAAGATCTACATGATTTGTATAATGTACTTTATTTCTGCTACTAGTAATTTCATGAAGTTTCAACTTGCAAACCAACTTTTGGAAACAAACCGCCACACATACATACACACACACAAAAGAAAGACAAGAAAAGGACTTAGAAGAAACTCTGGGTTGATGAATTTCGTGGCTGGAGAGGTCCTTGTCACTGTGGCGTGTTTCAGGTGAGAAGCTGCAAGCATCATCTTTATGTCCAAAATGCCTCTCTTTGATCTGGAAAAACTGAAAGTTTATTTAATAAAAGTTTTACTTGCTAAAGGACTGTGCCCTCCCTTATTTGTCCTTTCGTGTCAATAAAGACCAAGTATATCTGGCCCCATTGAGTTCCTGGAATAGAGAAAAATTCAGATTCAGAATTGGGAGACGCAGGAGGAGATATTTGAGAAGGTACGTCTGAAGTTCCTGTAGCCAAGATTTCATTGGGTTCATCCAGAATTTGAAGAAATGAAGTGTTCTTTCTCAGGAAGAGCAGGTGCCTATGTTTCTTGATTCCCACACTCATTCAGTCACTTCCTGCACATCTGTCTCTTTGCTGGCCTCCATGGGCACAGCAGTGACCAGATGGCTTTTGTCTCTACCCTCACAGAAGCAGCCCAGGAGAGGAGACTCTATACAACACACATTTTGTTATTGTTGTTCATCCTCACTTAAGGATACTTTTCCATTGAATTTTTTATTATTTTTAGATAGAATGGAAAGGAGAGAGAGAGAAGTATCAAGGTGAGAGAGACACATCGATTGGTTGCCTGTCACATGACCCCAAGTGGGGCTGGGGATCAAACCTACAACCCAGGTATGTGCTCTTGACTAGGAATCAAACCTACAACCCTTTAGCCTGAGGGCTGACGCTCTAACCACTGAGCAAAACCAGCTAGGGCTTTACAACACACATTTTTAAAAATTGGAGTAAAAGTCACATAACCTAAAATTCATCATTTTTTAAATCATTTTAAAGTGTACAATTCAGTGCCATTAAGTACATTCACAGGGTTGTGCAGCCATTACCTCTATCTAATTCCAGATCATTCCATCACCCCAAAAGCAATCTCATCTCCCGTAGCAGACACTCCCCATCTCCCTTCCCCATCCCCTGACAACCACTAACCCACTTTCTGTCTTTGTGGATTTGCCTTTTCTGGACATTTCACATAAATGGAATCACACACTATGTGGCTTTGTGTGTCTGGCTTCTCTCACTAAGCATCATGTGTTCAGGGTTCATTCACGTTGTAGCGAATGTTAGCACCTCACTTCTTTTCATGGTTGAGTAATATTCCAGTGGGTAGATGGACCACATCTTGTGTATCTATTCATCCTTCAGTGGACATTTGGGTTGTTGCCACCTTGGTCCATTGTGAATAGTTCCACCATAAATATTCATGTACAAGTTTCTGTTTGAACACCTGTTGCAGTTGTCTTGAGTAGATATCTATGAGCAGAATTGCTGGGCCATATGGCAATTCTATGTTTAGCTTTTGAGGAACTACCCAACCATTTTCCATGGCAACTGCCTCATTTTACCTACCCACCAGCAGTGCACAGAGTTCCAGTTTCTCCACATCCTCATCAGCACTGTTGTACAATAGATTTTGAATTGGAAGGTTAAGGGAGAAAGTCCACAGTTGGACCTGTAGCCAAGGACCCAGAAGTGGCCCGAGGGAGTGAGGTCTGAAGGAGAAGAAACAAGAGGAATGATGTGGCTTTGGTTCTTGCCCCACTCCAGTGGAGGCCTCAAAGTTCCTAAGAAAATTTCTGGTACCTCCAGGGGAGGGCCTGGGATGGGGGTGTGAATAGTGGAGATAGCCACACCCAAGCTGTGCCTCTTAAAATTGATGGGAGTCAGACTAACCACTTGATTTAATGAGCTCCTTATTATCCTGCCAGATACTTTACAGACTATATTTCTTATTAGTAATTCATCACACTTTATGGTTGAGGAAACTGAGGTTAGGACATGAAGTGCATTGCTATAGCACCCACAGAGAGAACACGTCTGATCTGGGATTCAAGCTGGGAAGATGAGCTTGAGTCTGCCTAGAAGGGTTTTCTGGGTGGAAAGAACAGCCTGGACAAAAGCTCACAGGCTTGAGATGGTGTGGTGGTCAGACAGTTGGCTAAGACTGCAGCACTGGGCAAAGAAACAGATGCAGAGATGACAGTGTCCGGATTACAGAGGTTCTTTCATGATGAAGCACCGTGTGCCAGACCTTGACCCTCCCAAGGCCTCAGTCAAGGAGAGAGGTGAACAAAAAATAAAAGTACCCATCTTTGCAGGAAAAAGTAATTCTAGAGCATTCTAAAAGTTGTGACCACAGTGAGATTAGCAAATCTGGGACATTACTTTAGGGCAATGAAGGGCTTTGAGCAGGGGAAGGGCATGAAAATTGGAGTGTTAGGAGGATACCTGTGGTGACCTTCAAGCTGGTGAGGTATAAATTGACACTGGAGGATAACTTGGCAGGATAATATTTCTACCAAGCATTTATTAAGCACTTACTATTTGTCAAGCATTGTTTCAAGCCTGTGTCATCTAATACAGTAGGCACTTGCTACATGTGGCTATTTAAATTTAAATCAGTTTTAATTATCATAAATTATCTTCCTCAGTCATACTAAGCCACACTAAAAAAAAACATTTTTTTTTTTTTTAATCTTCACCTGAGGACATTTTTGCATTCATCTTCAGATAGAGTGGGAGGGAGAGAGGGAGGAAGAGAGAGAGAAACATAGATGTGAGAGAGACATATCGACTGGCCACCACCCACACTACCCCAACCGGGGTGGGGGACAAACTGCAACCGAGGTAATGTGCCCTTAGTGAGAATTGAACCCAGGTCTCCCTGGTCCGCGGGCCGATGCTCTAACCGCTGAGCCAAACCGGCCAGGCAGGGCCTAAGCCACATTTTAAGGGCTCAATAACCACATGTCCATCACTACAGAAAATTCTACAAGGCAGCATCGGCCTGGCCTAGGTGTTTATGTGACTCAACTCACATAGGCTGCCACCATCCTGTGAGTATGTTCTATAAATAGCCCAACTTTATGCGTGAGTAAACTGGGGCCCAGAGAGGTTAAGTGACCTGCCTAAGGCTGCACAGCAGGAGTTGAAACCAGGCCCTCAGGCTTGTCTCTTAACCACTGCTTTATCCTGCTTCCCTGTGCTGTGTAGTGACTGAAATTCAAATGTCAGATTGTAATTCAAGTTATTTTTTATAATCATTTAAGCTTTTAAATTTAACTCAAAGTTGTTAAACATTTAGAATGCATTTTTACAATACAAATGTCTCTGTAGAGTGAACAGGTTTGTGCTTGGGATGGCTGAGCTCTGGCTGTGGTATAGGTGTTCATCTAGGGGGAGAGGCTAAGTGATATCCAGAGTATATCAGTTAGCTATTGCTGCATGACAAATTACCCCCACCCCATTTTAGCGGATTAAAACAACACAAGTTCATTATCTCACACAGTGTCTGTAG